TGTGGAGACCGTTCTCTGGGGTCTGAGAAACTGAGAGAGCTGCCTAATGGCCAGGTATGTGGGCTATCTTAAAATATCCATCATTAACCAGGCCCTTCCTCCTACTCCCGGCCTCTCTTAGGCATCTACCTAGCTACACACTCACCAAGCTCTAAAGGATCCCCCTTACAGTACCTGTAATGCCTTTCACACACGCCAAGGAACAGACATACACACCGCCGATAAGGGTGCTTTTTTTTTTTTTTTTTTAATTCTTCATCTCATGGCCAAGGTCAACAGGCATGTGCCCAAAACCCTGACTGAGAGCCCTGACCCCCAAGGTTTGACTGTGGTATGCCAAGGATCCGTTGCCTAACATGAGTCATACCCACCCTTTGAATCCTATCTCCCTAACTCCTATGCTGAAATGACAGATGTGAAAATGCCTCAAAAGGCTGAAACTACGATGCAAACTGGAGAGTGTAAGAGCCCAGAGCACCTGTGTTAGCGAACAATGCTGAGGTGTAGCGCAGGCAGGAGGGGTGTATTCCTACAGAGAGTGCTGTGTGAGGGTGAGAAGGCTGGAAGGGCTACCAGGACTCTCTCTCTCTCTCTCTCTTTTTTTTTTTTTGAGACGTTTTTGCTATAGGCATGTGCGCTTACTGGAAAGACAGAGAGACAGAAATCATCCCCCAGAGCGATGGCCACGCCACAATCCCTTCTCTATTCTCCTCTTGGGATCTTGGGCGCGCACGCACACGTGCCCGTCGTGAGTTTAAGCCACTGAATCCAGGACTCAAACCGCACTCAACTACATGAGAGTCCAGCAACATAGCCATTACGCCAACTGCTGGTCCCTAGGATTCATCTGTGGGGGCAACTCCCTCTGATTTTTATCCTGTTCTTCCACTGTGAAGTATAAAACCACATGGGCCCTCCCCAGTCTCTGCACCTGTCACAAGTCTCAGGTGTTCATGAACCCTTCCTTATAGGTAACATGAGGGAGACATAATTACAGATGCAAGACCAGCAGATGGCATAATGGTTACGTCACTGAGATCCCAACTGAGATTCCACGTAGTCAACCACTGTTCGACCACTGGCGACTTAAAACTCATGCTGGGTGCATGCACATGTGTGCCCAAGATCCTAAGAGGAGAATGGAGGAAAAAGGATTGTGGTACAGTCATCCCCTGGGGATGACTTCTCACCTCTGTCTCTCTGGTAAGTGCATATGCCCCATAGCAAAAAAACTCTTAAAAAAAAAAATCACAGGGACCAGCAGGTGGTGTGGTGGTTAAGGTGCTGGACACTCCCACATGGCCGACCAGGGTTCAAGTCCTGAATCTGGTTGCTTGCTTTCTCACTTCCTCTTTCTCTCATTCTCACCTTCTGTCTCTCTCTGGTCAAACTAAAAAATAAATAAATAAACAAATGAATAAAATAAAAAAAATTATTTAAAAAAAATATCACAGATGAAAAAATAACATCACAGATGCTGAAACACAACTTCAGGTATTACTCTAAGTCCAAAGAAAATTAAGGACTAATAGAAGAATACACATAAAATAAATTACTGCCACTGTTTCATCCTTCTGCGATGAACTTGGGTCCTTTTTATTGAGAGAGATTTTTGCTATAGGGCACGTGTGCGAACCAGTGGCAGTGAGAAATCACCCCAAGGGGATGGCCATGCAACAATCCCTTCTCTTCTATCCTACTCTTGGGATTTTAGGCACACACACACACCTGTCTGGCCTGAGTTTTAAGCTGCTGGGTCCGGACTCGAAATGCAGTTGACAACGTGGGAGTCCAGCAATGTAACCATTATGCTATAACCATCGCTGGTTCCTGGGTTGACTCTTGATTCTCCCCTATTCTGAGCTTGGAGTGAATGCATACGCAGAGACAGTCACTAACATACCTGTTTCTCTAACATACATGAGTTTACGGAAAATTGGTACTATGAAAAACTGCAGGCCCAGCCTGGTGGTGCAGTCGGCAGCTAACTGAACGTAGGTGCTGGACGCCACATGGATCGGGATCCACACATTTGGCTGAAAACATGTCGGGGGCACACATGCATGCCCAAGACCCCGATGAGGTGGAGGGCTGAGGAAAGGAATCTTGGCATGACAAGAACCGATCAAGGGTTTCCCTCTCTTTTCTCTTGCTCAATAGTGCACTAAATATGCTATCATGAATAAAATAAACTTAAAACAACTGTACATGGACTTCTAAATTTTTTGCACCAAAACAAACTTACTTATTTATAGAGGTGGAATTTCTGGCACCAAATCTCATGTTCTGATACAATAATATTTAGGACCCACTTCATTGTGTGTATTTTATACCCCAGTAAAAGATTAATAACAAAACCCCCCAAAAAAAACCAAAGAGAAAATGAGAGGGAGGGAGGGAGGGAAGGAAGAAAACACATGGGACTATTCATCTAAAAAACATGAATTTTAGGGGAGGTCCCATAGCACGTTTAAGCCCTGTGTATAAGCCGCCAGATACCTCATAGTTGACAATTGTTTGAATCTCAGTCCCAGAGGCTTGAAAAGCATGCTGGACACACATGTGTGCATACTCAAAAATCTTGACAAGATGGAGAGGAGGTGAGCACAACCCACTGGGGAGGGTGCGGCTCACTGACAGTGCATGTACCCTCTGGCAAAATAAGTAAATACACTAGCTTTATTTTATTTATTTATTTTCCAATTTTGACCACAGAGAAGGAAAGTGGGAAAGGAAGCCACAAGGTCTGGAACTCCAACTGTGGTCTGCCATGTGGGAGTCCAGCACCTTTAACTACCACACCACCTGCCAACCCCCTAAATACACTAATTGCCTTTTAAATATTTACTTAATTTTAACTTATTTCATTTATTTTAATTTGACCAGAGACACAGAACGAGAGAGGAAGAGAAAGTAAGAAAGTAAGCCACCGTATCCAGGACTTGAACTGTGGTCAGCCTTGTGGGAATGTTCAGCGCTTTAACCACCAGGCCACCTGCTGGTCTCTAAACACACTGATTTTAAAAAGCTACTTTATCAGGGCCAGCAGGTGATGTGGTGGTTAAAGATGCTGGATTCCCACATGGCAGACCATGGTTCGAATTCCGAACCTGGCGGCTGCTTTCTGGCTTTCCCTTTCTCTCTCTAATCAAATCAAATTAAAAATAATAATAAATGAAATAAATACATCTTTAAAAACGAAACAAAACAAAAAAACACTCCTTTATTTTCCAGATTTGCCTATCCTTCTCTCCCCAGGACTATCACGTGGTTTGCACTTATATCTGGTAACTTGCTATGGGCTTATAAACGGTCTCACCAAACATCTACCTTCTAGGACACAGTTGTCCTTCACAGCCCAAACTCCATCCTCTGAATAAGCTAACCAACACTGATCAGCAGGACATATTTTGTATTTCAACAAGCCACAGTAACATACCAATCTTTGCAAGATTCTTGTTTTTTTCTTTTAAGGGAGATCAGGGACCAGCAGTTGGCATAATGGCTATGTCACTGGACTCCCATGTAGTCGACGGTGGTTTGAGTCGCAGACTCGGTGGCTTAAACTCACGACAGGCATGTGGGCGTGCGTGCCCGAGATCCCGCGAGAATGGAGAAGGGATTGCGGAGTGGCCATCCCCCTTGAGGGTGATTTCTCTCTTTCTGTTTCTCTGTCTCTGTCTTTCTGGCAAGGGCACACACCTTATAGCAAGAAACTAAAAAAAAAAAAACGGGGAGTTGAGCAGTTGATGTCTGGATTAAAGAAAATGACTTAGTGATTAAAATGTTCAAGTTCTATTTCATGTTATTATAATTTATAAAACCTCTGACAAGCAAGGGCTAATATATTTAAAACTCACTTATCTAACTAAAGAAAATTAAATGCTAAGACAATCATTCATGATGTTAGAAACATGGGACCATATGAGTAGCAATGCCTCTGCATGTTGATTTTGGTCAAGGGTCTGTCTTTTTTTTTTTTTTTTTTTTTTGGGGGTTTTTTTTATAGGGGACATGCGC